AGGTGGGGTGTGCATGAATGTGTGTTAGCCAGATAATATTTTTACCTGAAATAAACTGTGTATATGTGTGTATGTATACATATAGTTTCTTTCAGAGAAAAATACTTTTTTTCAGATATGCAGCTATATATACCCAATATATGCATTATAGGCTCAATTATGGTTAGCAGTATAATTGAAATGAATGGATGCTAAAGGTATTCAGTCACTTTGAAACTTGGGCTATGTAAATTGATGTAAAATTCAGCTAAACATTACATTATTTTTTTCAGTCTTTCAACAGAGAAATATCATCATGTCTACAGCACTTCTATGTCCTTTGTGAAACATTTTTTAATAAACTTTTAATAGCTACTGTGAAAGCTCCCGTGTCAAATTGTTTGTTTAAGATTGAACCTTTAAATATTTAACAACCTGTCTGGGAGTCTGGCAAGATGACTCTCTTTTCTTCTTCTCATGTTATATTGCTTCTCCTCTGTCTGTGCTCCATTATTATGATAAAAGTCTCCTAAAAACTTCTAGTTGTGAAGAAATCCTCTGAATTGATAGGAAATTTTTTTTTTTTCTTATTCTGGTAAATAGCTGGAATTAATACTATTTCACTGGACACTGCACCACTGCTAACTTCCTACTAGAAAAAAAGCTTTTTATTATGAAGTACCCATGTGTGATGATGAGAGCACGGGCTATGCAAGGAAGTAAAGATAAAATAGGAATGGATGAACTGGAGTGAAAAAATAATAATAAATCTTCACTGTCCATCAACACAGTTGAAAACAAAAACACACACCCTTTATGTCCTTCCCATCCTTCCCCTGCTTTTTTAAAATGTAAGAAGGGAAAAGAAGTGGAGTAAGTGCTCTAAAACCCCCATGGCTCAGCAAAGGCATTTGAGAATGCCTGAGGGCCAAAAAGGGAAGCATACACCTGGTGGAAGGGAGGGGCTATCACCAAGGAGGAATACTCCTCCTTGGCCTGTGAGTGTAGGAGGGCTTTTAGGAAGGCCAAGGCAGGGGTGGAGCTCAGGCTAGCAACCAGGGTTAAGGACAACAAAAAGTCCTTCTTGAAATACATTGGGAGCAAGAAGGGGGCACTGGGTAATGTAGGGCCCCTGACAGACTCAAATGGTAATCTTGTGGCTATGCCAGATGAGAAAACTGAAATTTTTAACAAGTTCTTTGCCTCTGTTTTTTTGGACAGGGACCAGGACAGCTCTCACACCACAGGTAGGGGCAAACTTGGGGATAGCACTGCCAGGTCTCAGATCTGTGCAGAAGTAGTTAGGGATCTTTTGGAAGGGCTGGATGTTTTTAAATTCTGCGGGCCCTGATGCCCTCCACCCACGTGTGTTGAAAGAGCTGGTAGGGGTCATTGCTGTTCCCTTGGCCTGGCTGTATGAGCGATTGTGGTCCATGGGCCAGATGTCTGGAGATTGGAAACTAGCTAATGTGGTCCCCATTTATAAGAAAGGGAGAAAGGAGGACCCAGGAAAATATAGGCCCATAAGCCTCACATCGGTCTTGGGGAAAATCCTTGAAAAAATTATCAAGGATCACATCTGTGGGGGCCCAGCAGGGGAGATCATGCCCAGGGGAAATCAACATGGGTTCATCAAAGGCAGGTCCTGCCAGGCCAACCTGATGGCCTTTTATGACCAGGTAACTAAATCCCTGGATGATGGTGTCGCTGTGGACATAGTCTTTCTGGACTTTAAGAAGGCCTTTGACACTGTCTCTCACCCCATTCTCATAAATAAATTGAGTAACTGTGGCATTGATGCCTACACAGCTGGATGGGTCAAAAATTGGCTGATGGGGTGCACCCAGAGAGTGGTGGTGGACAGGATGTACTCGACCTGGTGGGATGTGAATAGTGGGGTCCCTCAGGGCTCGGTCCTGGGGCCTACACTGTTCAACATCTTCATCAGTGACTTGGATGAGGGGGTGGAAAATACGTTGTCCAAGTTTGCTGATGACACCAAGATGTGGTGAGAGGTAGGAACGCTTGAAGGGAGAGAGATGTTGCAATTAGATTTAGACAGACTACAGAAGTGGGTGGATGGTAACAGAATGGGATTCAATGTAGATAAATGCAGGGTGCTGCACCTGGGGAGAAGGAATCCACAGCATTCATACAAGCTGGGGAGCTCCCCACTTGTGAGCACAGAGGCGGAAAGGGATCTTGTAGTCATTATTGACTCCAAGATGAACATGAACCGCCCATGCCAGACCGCAGCCGGCAAAGCCAACCGTGCCTTGTCATGCATCCAAAGATGCATCTCAAGCTGGGCCAGAGAGGTGACACTCCCTCTCTATGCAACATTGGTCAGGCCACAATTGGAGTACTGTGTCCAGTTCTGGGCATCGCACTTTAAGAAGGATGTGGGCTCCCTTGAGAGTGTTCAGAGGAGGGCCACCTGCTTGGTTGGAGGGCAACAGGGCAGGCCCTATGAGGAGAGGCTGAGGGACCTAAACCTGTTCAGCTTCAGCAAGCGGAGGCTGAGGGGGGATTTGGTGGCTGCCTACAAACTCATTAGGGGAGATCAGCAGCAAATACGAAGGGCCCTATTCTCCCCAGCAGCACCTGGGGTGATGAGGAACAATGGCTAGAAGTTGATGGAGAATAGGTTCAGGTTAGAGATTAGGAGGCACTATTTCACTGTTAGGGTGGCTAGGATCTGGAACCAACTTCCTAGGGAAGTGGTCCTTGCTCCTACCTTGGGTAAATCCAAAAAGAGGTTGGATGACCACCTGTCTGGGGTCATGTGATCCCAGCGTGTGCTCCAGCCAGTGGCGGGGGGTCAGACTAGATGATCTATTCAGGTCCCTTCTGACCCCAAACTACTATGAAACTATGAATGATAAAATTATATTGAGAGAGGGAGAGAGAGTTAAGTCCTTATTAAGTCGTTAAAGATTAGCTGCTTATCTAAACCAAATGTAGCTAAGCCAACTCCTTTCAGGCCAACATTTCAGCAGTTTCAGGTGTGTAATAATGCATCCATACACCAAGTAGGGTCTCTAAGTCCTACTGAGGCAGATCAGCTGTCTGGCAGAATGTGTCCCGGTGCAGCTGATCTGTTTCACCAAGCAAAACACGTCTCCTGTTGGTCCCACACTGGGCGGTGTTCCTGTCATTTGGAATAATATGTTCCCTATTTTCAGACTCATGCCCTGGGGAATCTCCAGTGCGTTTCTAAGCTGGGACTCCCAAGACTTGAGGTGCCTGACACTGTGCAGGAATTACTGGGGCCTGTCAAGTTCTGGGAGCTTCTGCCTAGAGGAGCTGAAGCTCCAGGCTGGTCACAATCTCCCACCATAAACTGAACGGACATGTGCTGCAATAAAGCAGCACAAATTGATATAACCTATGCTGCAGCTGCAAATTTTGGGTATTTGTGGCGCAACAAGGGGCATGGAAATCTGTTTGCTTGGCTTTTGTGCTGCCATAAAAATGTTATAGTGGCATAAATGTGATATCTGTTTCTACCTTAGGTTATGCTCTGTGAAAAGTGAATGAAGCTGCTTTAGAGATTCTTTCCCCCCAATACCAGTATTTCACTGCTCCTCAAAACAGAATAATTAGCCATCCAAGTGCAAGTTATTCTGCATTTTCCTATTGTATTATTTTACACATTCAAATCAGAAATAGGCTTTATCTTTTCAAATTCAAGCAAACCTGATGGGGTTCTTCAAGAACATGCTCATACTCATGAGCCATACAAAAATTAGATACGAAATTTTGATACTAGAAGAACTATTAAATGCACCATACATTTTCCCAAAGCCAAATGGACTTTGATCCTGAATGCTTGCAGAAAAGGACTAATTTCTTGCCATTTTCCAGTTGGTCTAATAAAAAGTATCATTTTGGAACCAAGAATTCTAGTTTTTTGTATGCCATTTAAATGGCAGCTTTTATGCTTATGAAGGGATATTACCCAAATAAACTTTTCAAACTCATACATAAATCAAACATCAATACTTTATAACTATGACAAAAATAACCTCCATTGAACATGTAATTTGTACAACAGCTGGTCTCACAAACTTTAAGTTCACCTTTGATCCCAACAAGCCAATACAACAGTCAATATATCTTCCATTCATTACATTATATGGTATCTATTGGTTGCTCATTCTACATTGTTTTGAACAGGTCAAGAATTTACTGCAAATCATGAGATATTTTTCCTCATATACATATTCAGTGGAAGAGAGCATTCAAGAAAATCTGGTAGAGACAGATTAATTGGATAAAGTTTTTGGTAATGTTAAAATATAAACGAATACTTTTTAGAAACCTGATTGTTACTCTACCTGTTACTTTGAGTCTGTCAGCTCCAATGATGATCTCATCTTCATCTGCAGAAAACAGTAGCTTTCCACCTTCATTTGCTCTCACTTCAAATCGCTTACACTGGGCCTCCACAGCATCAGCTCCTGGAATTGAGAGGATTCTGTGAGAATTCTGAGAAACAAAATACTTCACCTAAGAAAAGATTTCTGAAATTGTTAATTTCATAATTTACTTTGAATCCCCAAAACACACGCTCAAGCTTTGCACGACACTTAATTTCTTGTAGACTTGGTTGATCATTTTGTATTATAAATCTTTCATTGTGTAATAATCATTCCTTTATTATACATTAACATGGACTTTAAAACCAATAATAAGAAGTGCAATACACCTTATTGCTATTAGTGAAAAGGAAACAAGAATTTAGAAAAGTCATATTTTGAGATGCTGATATATCAATGCAAAAAGGTTCTTAGCTTTTATTGTAAATAATATTCATGGCTCTTTTGACAGTAGGAACAAAGGACAAAGCGCTACTTTATTCTGCCCAGATCAATTAGAAAAAAATACCCAAACACATTTTGTAGAAAAGGCTCCAAGCTTTATTTATTTTTGCTTAGTCTTGTTGCAAACATTCACAGTTGAATATTTTAAAGAGCAAATACACTTTCATATAACCAAGACTTTTTAAATATTCTAATGAACTCAAAATCTTAATTTTTTCAGATTAAAGAAAAAGTACACTCATGTTATGTACGAAAAAGTTTTTGAACAAACTGTTAATCCCAATGCCTTATCACTCTCCTTCTTGTTCCTAAATATACCCCTTGTCTTCTTTTAATTCCTTTCTTATAATTTTGCTCATCTGTAACATCTTTCAATTTATTCAGTGAAAGCAGAGGTATAGCTCAGAAAATGATAGTGACTAATGACAATCTATAAGGGACCTATCAGCCCTTCTGTGAACTGTTCTTTCTACAATGAACTCAAGTTTTTCAGTTGGTTTTCAATAGTCAAATACCTCATTTAGGCTTGGATTACCCCCCCACCCCCCACCCCCTACACACACATACACACTCTATATAGGAAAGCAATAGGTTGTCAGGATAGTACTCTAGACACAGAGATCCATTCTTATCTGAGTTGTCTTCTCAGTTACATCCAGCCTCACAGCTGTGTGGAAGCTATTTGGTTCATATAATGAGAAATGCACCTGTTTGCATAATGCTGCAATCGTCAGCTCAACATCAGTCCAGGCCATTATCAAAAGACCGGAATCTAATCAGAAATATAGAAGCCCTAACAGCTAATTTGAGATAAGGATTTTCAAGTAAACTCCTTCATATGCTGGTCAAAATTTTCATAAATGATTCAGGATATAGTGGTATGATTCTCCTATCAGAATGAAAATACAGATACACTGTTCAAAAAAGAGCATTATGTTTATATTACCAGTAAGGAAAGTAAAAGTAGTAGGTTATAACAACAAATGTAGAACGCTTCTTTTGAAAGCAGTGACATTTATCCCATTATAAAGTGTAGCATTTCATATAGGTTTCCTTTAATATCTGGTTTTAGCTGTATTTTGAATTGTGATACGTGTGTGCACGTGTGTGTATGTTTAATACAATACTCATTTATTTTGGAGGCAATTTTTTCAGGATGGGGAAACTGAGTGGTGAAGTGGCTTGCTAAAGATCACATGGGTAATTAGTACTGTAGAACCTACTATTACTGCATCCTAATTTATTGCTCTATCTGGTCAATCACTCTGTAGGATTTCCCAAAGAATCTTTCCCATATTTGCTTTCCCTGATTTGTCAAAACTGAAAGTAGGTACATGCATAGTTTTTGAACCTGTAAGGTGCATGTTTCCTTCAGATCTCATTTGAAGGTGTGTATAAGGAATCCCTGTATTCCCCCACTGCTGCTTGTGTGTTATACACTGTATGTAAATTTAAAAGTGCCATGAAATGGAGAATAAATACAATGATGTAATGTTTCAGTTTTGTATCAGGAACTGAAATCAAGTATCTTCAGTCTAAAGACGACTTTATAGAATCTCTCATTCTTTATTGCCCAATAAATACTTAGCTATTCCATGAAGTGGAACAGTTTGGACAGGAGTGATTTAGAAATCCCAACCCATAATACCTAATACTGTGATGGTTACAACATCCTTGTGGGAGATTCTTCAAGGTCCTTCAGTCAGATGAAGTCTCCACTATTCTAGGCACTGGATCAGATTGCATAGATGAGCTAGATGGGGAAATGTCTATTTTGTGAATCTCAAAAAAGATTATGTTGCTGGTTGGTGCTGTCAAGAATTAGGAGACTTTACAAATGAATGCTGACAGAAACACAGGCATCAACAGACTTTAGAAACTACTCAGAAGGCTCATTCCTCAGATTTGTAATGCTTCTTTTTAAATGATAAATGTATAAAATTTATAGGCTGTGCATATACTACATTCCAAATAATTCATACATTGACAGTGAATACATCCATTTTGTTCTACAGGTTAGGGATGGCCACATAACTCACAAGTCAAGAACACATAAATAAAATGGATGATGATATTAGCACATAATTTATTTAAAAGAGAGAAGCAAATATAATAAATTAAATACAAGGTTGAAATACTTAAAGAAATTTAAAATGGCTTGTTTCTAGGTTTTATGTGATTCACAGATGATTTACACACATGTTGGATTCAAAGCTCAGAATAGTTTTTAAATGATAGATGGTTGATATAAGCACAATAAAAGAATGCAGTTTGTACTGTACTTCTCTTCTTATACACAGATATGCAAAACATGCTTCACTGACTGCACAGGTTTTGAATGGGAAGAAATAATCCCTGCCTTTCTGCTCTACATTAATGCTTTCAGATTAAATTATTGCAATTATATACCTCCAAGACACAATATCATTAAATATTAGATAGTTATTAAAAAGAAATTCTCCACACGAGTCCATGATGATACCTAAGAGAGCATTACTGGTGATTTAGTTGATGGCACATTCTCCCTTGATTTATTTCTAAAACAAAGTAATAGTGCAGGGCTGTTCAACTGGAAGCCCACTGGCCACGTGTGGACCATGAGGGGTTAATCAGTGATGCCAGATTCCTACCTGCCTAGGCTTTCTAGGGTCTAGGCTTTCCCTCCGTCCCTCAGTTTTCATTTCCTGCTCCCACCCCAAAGGGTGCAGCCCAGGAACTGAAGTGAATGCTACCTGTACACATATTGCAGCTGGGTGCGTGGCTTGGGGGCATGTGGCTTGCATGTGTGCGGCCTGCACTGTTGCAACCTGTGTGGCATGTGGCCCCCAGCCACTTAGAAGTTGAACAGTCCTTTGCTAGTATGTACCTAGTAATAATGCTGCTTCATGTATTAATATTTAATTTATACACACACACACACACGCACGCACGCGCGCATATGTATATAGTGCTAGCAGACATATCTATATCTGCTAGTAAATTCCACAACAGAACATTGAAGGGCATTTATACACATACTTATTTTCCAGCAACACGCTGGAGATCCACCACTTTGGAGCAGACTCAACTTATGAAGTGTGCTTCACACACGAGCTGAGGTGAACTGTAGTGCACCATGTGCAGTTGTATAAGCAGCAAAATGTGCATCAGCATGCAGAACGTGGCAGTGGTATGCTTTTGAACTAAATCACCTCTGAGATGTTTTAGATGAAAAGCACGCCACCACCATTTGCTCAATGCTGATCCGCATTTTGCTTCTTATACAACTGCATGGGTTGCATGGAGCACTGCCACCCATACAATCCAAAGAGACCAGGCTGAGACTTTAGGAGATTTGTGTGTGTGTGTGTGTGTGTGTGTGTGTGTGTGTG